TTGGTTAACTAGCAGATCATATAGACGCGTAACTTGGCGTGAGTAAAGTTAGCCCAACACCTAAAGTACACCGATCCCTAAATTTTACAGTGGTTCCCATGCCGGCCCTGTGAGTACTGGCACTGAGGATAAGTGTGGCAGCTCCAGGGATGTCGGACTCGGAAGATTCGAGGACGAATCTTGAAAGAAAAGGGGGAGTAGTGTAACAGTGCTAACTGACCATGCTAAAGGGTCGTGCGACCTTTTAGTGTAGTGGTTAGCGTTGGTGACCGCCAAGCGGACAACTCGGGTTCGATTCCCGGTTGTGACCTGCCCGCCCCTTTCGGTTTTTACACACATGGCAAAGAAAGGCTCAACCCGTCTTCACTTTCTCCGCATGCTCAAGAAGGGCGGGATGCCACCAGAGGACCTGGAAACTGTGTATACGACTCTGATACGACCTGTGTTAGAGTATGCAAATGCCGTGTACGTGGGCTGTAACACAAAACAGAACAACACTCTTGAGGCTGTACAGAGAAGGGCGGCGAGAATCATCTACGGCAACAGTACTCAAACAACCCCCTTCTCCACCCTCCAGGACAGACGGGAAACTGCAGCAAAAACTCTGCTCAAGCAAATGCGGCATGTCAGCCACACTTTGCATTCTTTGATGCCCTGCGACAGACACCAGAGCACACGGCGGTCCCTGAGTAATGGAAACCACATCTCCGTTCCGAAGTTCAGAACTGAAAGACTGAGGAAATCTTTTCTGTTTCAGGCAATAAGTCTCAGCAATCAAGATTTGTAAATAGTCCGCCTCTGTTTTAATGGACCTGAGCTACAAAATTTTAAATCTATTTAATTTTAATCGTCAATGTTGTGCTTTTTAATGTGTATCTCTTTTCAAGCTATTTTAACATGTAATCACTTGTGCAATTCAGCCAAGCAATGAATATTGGCTGCCAATCAATGTGAATAAAAAAACAGTTTCAGTTTTAGTTTTTCGAAAAGTTTCGAAATGTTTGTAATTGGCTAAATGATCTGTGAAATCACTAATCCCCCCTAGCCGACTGGAGCCCAAAAATAGAAAGGACAGGGGGCATCCCGTGGCGAATCTGGCTGCCCGACCCTCAGCGACCAGCGATAATGTAAACAAACACCTACACAAACGGCCGCGTGAGAAATCAACTCCAGTGCGCGGAACTTGCTCTCGAAAATGTATCAAGCCGCTACGCTTCCCCCCGCGGCTGTCATCCCTCCCCACTTATCCCACACTAGTTCAAATCACGTCAAAAAAAAAACCATCAAACATGCACAGAAGCGTGTTCATATCTTTCATGTTACGGTTAAAACTTAGAACCTCATTTTGAGCGAACGTTACAAACACGAGACAGCCGGTCCCACCAGGCACGATAATGAGACGTTGATTGATGGCACATGTGGTTCACATCTGAACAGTTTCAAAGAAAGAATTTATCGAGAATGCTGACACCCCTCTGTGTGAAAGGTCAGATCAGTGGTCGAGACCTCAATGGTCCTTATACACGCAAAGGTCAAAAGTTGAGGTCCACTTTCACACTGAAAGGGGTGTCCGTCGGCGGTCTAAACCCATCATTTTCACGCACTAAAACACACATACTAAAAAACCAAAACAACGTGCACCATCTACAGCCCAATAGCAAAACGTATACCAAGTCCCAGACATATCCGTCCACCCAAACGCTAGAAACTGCTGCGAACGTAATTTTCGTCTTCCCTCACAAAACCTCCGCGCACGGGATATACATCCCTACCCGGAGGTAACTAGAGGTCGGAGATCTCATGCCTTCGTCAGAGAGACATTGTTCTGGATTAATGAACAGGTGTATTCTTTCCTTTTTTTGATAATCAATTTGATTAACAAGATGAAAAACAAGAATCGCTGTGTGTGTTACTCCTTTTTTTATTCTACGGAACACCCTGGAAAGGTTTGCCACAGATTTACAGATGCACCGCCACCCGTTAGCGACGGTTAATTACAGTGTTATATAAACACTGTAATTATAGAATTTCCTCATTAATTATGTCCTCATTTGCATAATTTGAATTTAATTATGTTAAACTCTCTCTTAGCTACCTACACACCAAAAATGATGAAAATACGTTGTTCCCATCTGGACTTATTGGCTTGTAAGATTTTGCCCCGCCTGCCACAGCTTAAATAGATTACATCAAGGACATTATACACAGAC